GCCCGACTTCCTCGACTGTCGATCAAAATAAACACCGTGACTGACACGATTATTCTTTGCCAGGCTTGATGGAGTTTTCTGCTGTTCAAACAAGTGGAAGAAGCCCCGCCCCTCGATGGTAAACGCAATTTGGATCGTTGACTTGCGTGCATGCATGCAGTGTGTTTCTTATGTGTCTTACTCTGTTTTGTGTGTGTGTGTGTGTGTGTGTGTGTGTGTGTGTGTGTGTGTGTGTGTGTGTGTGTACATACGTGCGTGCCAGGGTCACACTCGTTTTGTTTTTGTTTTTTGTCGTTTCATTTCAAATTAGTTTTGATTCATTTTTACTGCTTGTTTGTTCATTTTTTTAAATTAATTTGAAAATGCTTTCTTTTATTTTAGATTTTGTTAGTTTTTGTATTTGTTTGAGTTTTAAAAATATTGTTAGAGAGTCTTTGTCAAGTGCAAGATTTTTTTTTTAAGTGTTGCGTCATGAAGTAAGATAAGCGACAATTCTCAAGCAGCTGTTTGACATCCCCTCCTCTGTTTGCGTGCGCAGCAATCCCGATATGCTGTAAATACGTTCTCGTGTATCATGTTAATTGACACAGACTTAAACAAAGGACATTTTCGTTTTAATTAAAGCTTTAGTTAGTTTTATAAACATAAGCTGTCGTTTCATTTACGGCGCATTTTGGTTTTATTTGATCTCATTCACAAAAATTGTTCTTTTTTTTTTCCGATTTTAGTTATTTCGTGACTTTTCGTCCAAAGTAATAACCATGGTGCGTGTGCGTGTGTTCCTGTCGCAGCTGGCACGGCAGCGCCGTCATCTCGGCCACAAAGTTCTTGATCCACGGCGGCTATAACGGAAACAACTCCCTCAGGGACGCCTTTGTTTTCGACACAGGTGAGCAGTCGTCGCCGTCTTTGCATCGCGCAGCTGTACCTAATCAAGTGGCTGGCGAGTCGCCCCACAATGTCGTGTTTTTGCAAACATTAGAAATTTTTTTTTTTAAAGTCTACAATACAACAAAAGAGTGTTCACTGTACGTCACAATGCAAGATTTCCAACATTTTCTTTTCCTGACGTCAGAGACAAACACGTGGACAGAGGTGACGCTCCCGCAGCTGTCACTTGCCCGGGCGGGTCACTCCATCGTCGCCATGGAGACGGCCAGCGACCGCGATGCCGAAGCGCAGCAAGCTGACAAAACACTGCTGGTGTTCGGAGGAGGCGACAACGAGGGCGCCTTTTACGCCGACGTGACCGTGGTCGCCGTCAAGGAGATCCTCGCTCTCCTTTGACAGTTTGACGCCACGCGCTACAAGTTTTGGTTCTCTTTTTTTTTTTTTTTCCCCCCTTACTCATTGTTGGTTTTTTTTCCCTATATTTTATTTGTTAAAAAACTGTATTTTTGTTTTAATTCACATGAATAAATTGGGTGAATTTGAAAGGAAGTGGCACTTTTATTGTGTGGAAAGAAAAATGAATGAAGCATCAAAGCATGACTGTCAACTTTCAAGGTCCTAGGTGCACGTGTGTGGCCGCACATACGGCACATGTCCGAGACGCCCTTTGTCAAAATAAACATTGGACGTCACCGACCGGTCATTGAATGACACAAATGAAAGGTACTGTGTAAATTTACCTTTTTAAAAAATATCTATGTTGTGTCCTTTAGGAAAAAAAAAAAAAATCAAAGAATGACATTTTTGAATATTTGTCATTTTACGGTCAGCAAAGGAAAAGTCATTACATTTCCAGCTGTTTTTATTGCTGTCAACAAGTGTCACATTTGACCTGAACAGTGTACAAGAATTTGGCTCTTCCTAAATTCCACTTTTTCTCCCTCCTGTTTGTCTCAGCAGCCGCCCTGCGTCACGTCAGCGTGGGAGAGGAAGGAAGTGCCGAAATAAGCAGGAGCAGCGGCGCGCCCTGGCTTGAACACCATTTTTTGTCTTTCTTCCATGCGCTGCTCCGACGGAGTTAGACGCACAAAGTCGCCATGAAGACCATCAGGGTTTTTGTCCTCCTGCTAACATCGGCTCACGTCTTCACGCCAGGTAAGAGAATCGACTTCATTGTTTTGGTTTGTTTTTTTTTGTTTTTCCAGAGCATCTTCAAGCAGGGGTGTTATGCTTTGAAAAAACATCAAATGTATCACAACCTCATATTTTGAATACAATACAGCGGTGCCTTGAGATTTTGTCGTGATTTTTTTTTAATAAGATAAACACAACCCTGTAATGTTGTACTTCATTAAAAAGAAAAAAAAGTGACCGTCATGACAAATTCAATGAATATAAAGAATTGAAGTATTTGGCCCATCAATGGGTATTGTGCTGCTCCCGATGTGTGCACCTTGGCCACCTGCGGGCAGCATAACAGTGGCACATCAAAAATAGTTTCACATCAGGTTTAGGAGACTGAAAATATATGCTGCTCTTCACAGAGGATAAAGAATAAATGCCTGAGTATTGTTATATTATTTGTCTACAATACATGTTAAACAGGCAGAGGTGCAGGGTTCGATTCCGCCTGCGGCCTTCCTCTTGGGAGTTTGCATGTTCTCCCCGTGCCAGCTTGGGTTTTCTCCGGGTACTTTGGTTTCCTCCAACATTCCAAAAAACATGCACGACAGGTTAATAGAACACTCTGAATTGTCCCGAGGTGTGATTGTGAGTGCGGATGGTTGTTCGTCTCTGTGTGCCCTGCGATTGGCTGGCACCCAGTTCAGGGTGTGCCCCGCCCGCTGCCCGAAGACACCTGGGATAGGCTGCGGCACGCCCGTGACCCTCGTGAGGAGAAACGGATTAGAAAATGGATGGATGGACATGTTAACCAGGAGTAGCAGTAAACTGTTTACAGCTTCCATTTTGAAAAATTCTTCACTATCTGCCAATCACCAAACAATTTTGGGCAGTTTGGACTGTTCCCAATGGAACGAATCCAAGTTGATTTGGCACAGCTTTGATTTGTCCATCCAGGGAACGCTGACGCTTTGAACCATCAAAGCAGACGCACACAAATGAGCCCTCGAGGGACAGAGCGACAATGCAACTCGTTTGGTTGACGCAGAGGAAAAAGTCCCTCCATGTTTTTGTTTATCTTCTGTTTGTGCCGCCGAAATAGCTCTTATCGGCTCGCCGCTGGCCCCGACAGATGATCCAGGAGGGGATAGCGTTGGGAACCAAAGTGCCGTCACTCTCAGAGGGCATCGAAATGAAATCTGGAGGAAATAGCGAAGGAGCTTAGAAAGACAAATGCTACTCGCCGGAATAAAATATTCTTCCATTTAATTTGAACGGGGTCGTGCGTGTCTTGTCGCGTCGTGTTCCTCACAGCTGACAAGTGCAAGGAGAGGAAGTGCAGATTCGAAGGTCAGGGAGACAACAATAGCCCAGGAGGACAGGATGCAGCTTCGGTCTCTCCCAGCGGAGGATGTCAACTGCATTGAGAAGGAGGCAAGAGTGATGGGAATCATTAAAAAAAAAAAAATCAAACAATTGTTGTGTATACACAACTTCACAACCTTCATTTCCGGACGAACCTGAAATGCACCCTGACCTTTCCGGGCGAACTGATGTTGACCTTCTGTCAACTTTTTGCAACCCCAACCAATTTTGTACTTTGTCAAAACATTCAGTGATCACATAATTAAAAAATGAATGTCAAGACATTTTTTTGCCACATTTGTTTTCTTTTACGTCAATGGACATTGTGCTGCTCCTTCTGGTATTCATGTCTTGACCACCAGAGGGCAGTATAATACACCCATCCATCCATTTTCCGATCCGCTTTTCCTCACAAGGGTCGTGGAGGGTGCCGGAGCCTATCCCAGCTGTCTTCGGGCAGTAGGTGGGGGGCACCCTGAACCGGTTGCCAGCCAATCGCAGGGCACATAGAGACGAACAACCATCCGTGCTCTCATTCACACCTTGGGATATTTGGAGTGTTCAATCAGTCTACCATGCATGTTTTTGGAATGGGACAATTTGGAGTGTTAAATCAGTCTACCATGCATGTTTTTGGAATGTGGGAGGACACCGGAATACCCGGAGGAAACCCACGCAGGCCCGGGGGGAACATGCAAACTCCACACAGGGAGGCCGGAGCTGGAATTGAACCCGGTACCTCTGCACTGTGAGGTCGACGCGCTAACCACTGAACCACCGAGCCACCCCAGTATAATACAAACGTATGGATATACTGTGGATGGAGACAGTCTCGGCTCCTCAGTAAACTGCAGTAATAGTCGCCTTTCTTCAAGGAGAATAAAGAATTTATGCCTACGAGTATTGTGATAGTTTTTGATGTGTTGCATAACCCTTTGTGTTCAAATGTCCGTTCCTAAAAGGGTTAGAACACCAGGACACTCGCTCTCTGTTAGTGTTTACCGTGATGTGTTAGCATAAAGGCAAAACTGTGGCTCAATATGATCTCAAGGCACACACTGTATATGCAGATTGCGTCTGATGCTACTTTATGAACTAAAATGTGCCGCTGCTTCTCCATGTCGGTCTGCTTCAAAGTGTCAACAGAGGAAGTTGTCGAGAAGCAGCAGATGGAGAGTCCAACGACAATCAAAGCGACGACAAAAAGCCACCAGGGTGAATAGAAACGTTGCATATGAGGAACCGACCGATTAATCGTCTGGCCAGTATTAGCTCTTTTGAAATTGCCCCCCGACCCCCCAAAAAAACAAAACCCAACGGCCGATTTTTGTTTGTTTTTATCACACGCAACATATGACCTTCCTGCCAAATATTGGCATGAAATTGGAAGATTTTTCTCTCGGTTGTAAAGTTCAACTAAAAGTATTGTAATACAAGAAAATGTTCTGCCTGTAAGTCTATTGTTTATTGATGTCAAGCTTAGTGGACCAAAAATGACGTTATTTTATTCATTCTATATATTCTTGATTAGTCGGCCGATGAATTGGTTCTCGGAATTTTATTCTGCCAAATCAGCATTGATTGGCCTTCAAAGATGTTCATCGGTCCGGGCCTCTTTTTGATACCACCTAAGTGTTGGCCACTGGTTTATTTTGCTCTTTTGTGCCCTTGAGCAGCACAGACAGCGTCTACAGCTCCGACCGCGGCACCGACAAACCGTGCGCCCCCTCCGGCAGAAATCACCCAAAAACCTGCGGAGAGCAGTGAGTGTGTCAAACATCTCAAAAGACGGCGCCATATTGATATCAACCCTTTTTTCCTCAGCAAAAACAATCGCGGCGGCGGTGACGCCGGCGGCGGCGGCGACAGCGGCGGCGACGGCAGCGACTACCGCGCCGATGTCGACGCAGCCATATGTGACGTCGCAAGTGGCCAGGGCGGCCGAGAAAAGTTGGAGCTTTCGCTACCTATTTGCACCTCGCTTCGCAGCAACTGGTCCTCGATAGGTGTTTTTTTTTTTTTTGTGTTCACGAGCAGCGGCAACAGAAGCTGCGGCAAATAACAGCACCCAGCCGAGGACCGCCAGCTCCCAGACTGACAGAACGACCAGCCAGACTCAAGGTAAAAGCGTAAAGAGGATCGCACAATTGAATCGCACAGAACTCACGACTAAAGGTGATTGAAATATAAATAGGACCGAGCCCCACCTTGGCCCCGCCGCAACCTGACAACGGTACTGTCGTGTATTCTCCACATGGATTCATCATGCTATTGTTTTCCTTTCAACAACTCTTCGTTGTACTTTCAGTGATGCCCCGGCACGAGACGGGCCGGACCACAGAGAAAAGTCCTGGTAAATCACCTTGCGATCTGTTCGAGTGGGACAACAGTTAACATCATTTGATAGTACAGTGGTACCTCTACTTACGAACGTCTTTTCATACGAAATGTTCAAGTTACGAAACGCCTCAACAGGAAAATATTGCCTCTTGTTACGAAAGAAATTTCAAGATACGAAAGGGAAATATTACAGTGTGGGCTGCTACTCGCAGTTCCGATTTTCCTGAACGCAACATACTTATAGCTGCTCTGCCATTGGCTATTACCGAGTATCATCCTGGCATCTCATTGGCTAAGAGGGACCTCTACCTTACTGTAATGTGTGTGTAGATAGATGAATAGATAGATACAGTATGTGTCTATGCAGCGTCCTTGTCATTCACCCCTGTGTGTCTTTGCGTGTCGATAAATCGATGTGCGTCCTTTTCATTCGGCCATGAGGCGCTCCGATAGTTTTACATAAATGCGAATCAGCCTCGGCCATGAAGCGCTCCGATAGTTTTACATAAATGCGAATCAGCCAGAAAAATTGTTCACCAGTCAGGCGATCGCTCGCTATGCTGATGTTTGCCTTGGACATTTTCAAAGGATTGTTACAAGCCAACAAAAGCAAACGTCCTTTGCTCAGTTGTTTACAAAACGCCAGTGAAAAAAAACACTTCTGAGAGAGAACATGAACTAACGAGTCCAAAAAAAAAACTATGAGGACGCAGTTAAAAGTTAAATGAACATCATTTTTGTTCTTTATTCTTTGTTTTATACATAATGCACAACTCTCGTTTATTGTGCAATCATCTCATTGTTAACATGTATTTGTTACATATTTAGATGCATTTTTATGCTTTATAAAACATTTATGTCTGAATTTTGGGGGAGCCTTGGAAGGGATTAGGGCATTTACATGGAAAAGGTGTCTGCACTTATAACATTTTCTAGTTAAGAAATTTCTTCCAGAACCAATTCATTTCGTAAGTCGAGGTACCACTGTAAAGCCGTGACAATTTGCAATTCTGTTTTTGGTCCCACTGAATATTTTCATCAGTTGGTGTCAAAAACAAAAAGAAAAAAAGAAGCATTTCATTTAACATTCCTTTTCGTTCACGATAGTAGTAGTGCCTGAGACAAAGTGTTTGAACCAAAAATGATTGTGATTGTGATCCACAAGGTCCTCAGGTTGGCGGCGGTGACAAAGAGGTGGCAAAAGCAGGTGAGGGACTGACCGGGCGGCTTGAAACTGCGCCCGACCGTGCTTGACAGGCTCATAGGGAGATTTGATCTATTTTTTTTTTCTGTTTTCAGCAACAGACAAAAGACTGTGGTGGATTGTGCTGCCCATCCTGCTGGCGGCCTCCGCCGCCATCATCATCCTCAAGTTCAAATGCAAGAAGATCCACGACCACACGGGTACGTTACTGATGTTCATGTCAGGTCAAATGTGACATGTTTTTAATGTCATTTTTTTTTCTGCAGAGACCATTGATATTGGAACTGAGAAGTAAGTTGCAAGTGCAAATCCTCGCCTTGCGTTGATCGTGCGCCCACAAACGAGCCTCGGGCCGTCCTCATCCCCCGTGTGTCCGCAGCGCGTCCTTCCAGACTCGCCCGGAAAGCACCAAAGACGGCGTCCTGCTTCTCGGCGTCAAGTCGTCAGGTGGCGAGGAGAACGGTGAGCCGTCTTCAGCGTGCGGGCCGTGCTTCCTGCCTTTTAGCGAGGCGGGAAGTGGCGGCCTTTTAATATCTTATTGTGCTGCGTGTGTGCGCGCAAGCTTCGGGCCTGGACTGGGCCGCAGAAGGTGTTTCCTGTGATTTGGAGCAGCCGCCCTCCAAGCCAGCGGCGGGACCCAAAAGTTAGCCGCTTCCTAACATAAACACGCATTTGTTTTGGGCAGGGGCTATTGTGTGCCTAAAAAATGTCAGCGTCACCCAGACACGCACACATACACACACACACACACACACACACGCATTTGTTTTGGGCAGGGGCTATTGTGTGCCTACAAAATGTCAGCGTCACCCAGACACGCGCACACACACACACACACACACACACACAAAAGAGTGCGTCTTTTGTGCGTAACGTGTGTATCTTGAATGTGTGTTTCCTTGTATCCGGTATGTATCTGTGTGTGTATGTGCCCGGTGGATGCTCCCATGGATCTTGGGTGTTTTTTGTGGTTTATCAACACTTGACTTGGACGTGAGCTTCACCGGGAAGTTAAGTCACTTTGAAGGAATTCCGCAGAGGAAGAAAGGGTTTATGGAGTGGCTGTATGTTGGATTCCTTTGGAAACGCTTCACAAAATACTCCAAAAACGAGTTTCGGAGAAATAAAAGATCGTTTCGTTGTTTGACATCCCACACAAGCGTCTCCTCCTTCCAGTTTAGATACGAATTGCTTTTCGTCACTTTTCAGGTCTCGCCAGGTCTTCGCTGTGTGTTGCGTAGCAGCAGCACCACCTAGTGTCTCTTTCTGAAACTACACAACGTCTCATTCTCGTTGTTTTCCTTCACCATTTGTTCCAGCTGCAAGATGAAATGAAGTGGCCAGGCATCATGGTGGAGCGGCCTCTCGACCTCCAGTAACCTTTTCATGTCCAACAAGCAGGAAATGAAACGGCCCTGCGAGCTCCCGCCGACAGTAGAATAAAATTGTTCTCATTGTACAAACAAAAGACTGTGCATCACTCCTTGGGCCTTGTATGAACTTATTTCAGTGGCGTGTCAACAAAGGTACGCCCAGTTAGAATCAGATCCTTCTCTTATTCATTGTATTCACCCATGCTCATATCCGACGTTTAATTTCTTGTGACATGTTTGTTTGTTTTTGAATGACAGTGCTCTTATTTTGGAACCGTATTCACGTGTTGTCAAGAAAATGCATTCTGCAAATATTTGTCGTTCAATATACAGTAAGGGATTAGTTGTCTAATAAATCCAAATTTGACCCTCTTTCTGTGGCATATATTTGAAATGATGCTGTTTTTTTTTTAATTGCTCGACCACTCAGTGAGGATGAAACTCTAAAACAAGGACACAAGCGCAGCATGACCTCCTCTTCATAACCCGGTGTTTATTACCAAGGGGCATTTTCTGAGGCTGGTGACACGTGCCAGCGAGATCTCGGTGGCCGATGTGAAAAATCCATTCAAGCCAACCAAGCGTGACCCACTAAAACGAAATAATACCCCCCACCCAGATCCCCCAAAAGAAAAAACGATCTTAAAGCTCCCGTGACCTCCTTCCTGAGTTCGGTGAGACGATCTGCAACATTTGTAATGCGACTCTGGCCAAGTCCATATGAGTGCATTCCCAGTGAGGGGAAGGGGGGGGGGGCATCTCTATGTAGCTACCAAGTAGAACACCAATGTTTGCATTTTCGTTCGCTTGTCCCACATAATGCACAGTTAAAAGGCTTGTAAGGATTTTATGACAAGGTATAAAATGTAGGTCAAAGGGTTTTTTTTCCTTCTGTATATGTCCATGTGTTGAAAGGCAGCTGCATGTGACTGCGGGAAACCCTCTCTGGCCTGTCAGATTCCTTGACCTCAGGCCAGCTGAGCTACTGAGGGGTGAGGGGGGGGGGGGGCAAGATCCACTTACTGAGACATCAGGCACCAGCCAGAGTGTAGCAGCCAAAGTGTTCTTCGCAAGTGTTGGCCAAATCAGATTGTCCACGTCGAGCGTTCATTCATCTATTTTTGATTCAGTCATTTGCTTTCTACTGTATAATACAGTATATGTGTACAGCAGCCAAAGTGTTCTTCGCAGGTATTGGCCAATGATTTCATGCCGAGCTTGATTGAGTAGCCAATGAGGAAGGCCGTGGTACCTGATTGGTCAAGCTTCTGGGTCAGCTGACCCCGGGGGAAGTTATAAATGGATGGCGGCAGCCGGAGTAATGATTCGTCCGTTGCAGTGTCATTTGTGTGTTCACGTCGCTATATATTTGTATGTTTGTCACCTAATTTATGAAAAGGAAACTATCCAAGTTTAATTTATTTGCGTGCTAACTATAAGGTGAGTTTTTGATTTGTGTGTGGTTGTCAAATTCGGTTCCATTGATTACCCTCCCAACACACTCTCACGCCCCCGCCCCCAAGAGTGGTGAAGAAACGGCGTCAAAATGGTTGCCACAAGCACCTTGAAGCCCAAATCAAACGAGTGCACCTGCGACGTGGCTGAGTGGAGAAACGACCAGACTTCCTTCGAAAAAGGTGAGTTGTGTTGCCTCTTTTGCCATCTTAATTTGTGCTAATTAAAGCGCGCGGATTGATGACGCCTTTAGTGTCATAAATTCCTTCAGTCTGTATCTCAGCAGTTTTTGTAGCGATAACATTGAACTGATACAATTTTCATGTCGACCCCTCCCCCATCGCTGTTAATTTTAGCATTGGTTTATTTGTTATTGTAAATAGAATATGATAAAGTTGAAAAACAAATTTAAAAAGCTTGGATCTAAAACAAAAATAGGCACCTGCAACATTGATGTCATACTTGTGCAGTATAAAGTTTTTCCAGGTTGAGATTAGTGTAATGGACTGAATGAGTGGCTGTTTATCAGTTGAGCACCCTTTTGTCGCAGTGTGTGTTACTCAAGATGCATTATGAGATAGGAAGGTGAAAAGAAGCATTTCCCACAGCCCTGGATAAAATATTTCCAATGACTCTCTAGAACCGGATTTTTGGGAGCCCTGGTGGGCCGAGACCCAGAGGAATTCGGAAGCCACCAAGGACAGAAGCTGTCTCTGGCTGGCCAAAATGCTGGAGAGCTGCCTGTCGCGAGCCAAAAGGTCGACCCTCCACTGTGCCACCGTGCTGGTCCCGGAGCAGCTAACGCGGCGGATCGCAGGGCAAATGCTGCGGCTGGCATCCTGCGAGCCGTGCGGCCTGCGCGGCTGCGTCCTGGACGTCGTCCTGGAAATGGACAAGGGCTGCAAGCGACTGGAGCGCTTGGTTTACGACGCCAGCGTGGTTCCCACCTTTGAGCTGACTCTAGTGTTCAAGCAGGATGCCGCCGTCTGGCCCAGCTTGCGCGACTTGCTTTTCATGGGCACCTGTTTCGCGCCGTCCTTTAGACGCGCGCTAAAACTGAGTCGAGGCTTCCGACTTGTCAAGAAAAAACTTTACTCCTCTTCGGGTGGCACAGTGATCGAGGAGTGCTGAACTACGGGATACATACATGCTCTTTGCCTCAGTTGTAAAATGTACACTGCTTACAGTGCACATAAAAAGTGCACACTCCGCTGTTTAAATGTGAGGTTTTTATGATATAAAAATATAAAACCATGATAAATAATTTCAAAACTTTTTCCACCTTTTAATGTGAATTAAAACATGTCCAGTGCAATCGAGGAAAAAAAAAACATTTGGAGATTATGTAAATACCCGGACTTTGAATGTGATTCATTCTGAATACATCCCTATTTTCAGAGGGTGTGCGCACTTCTGCAACCGCTGTTTTCCTCCAATTTATTTTTACAGGCCTTAAGTCACATGAAGGGTGGAAAAAGTTATATACTGGTATATCTTATTTTCATATCACCAAACTCAAGTTTGATCAAGGGTGTGTCGACTTTTTCAATGGCTTGCATGTTGATTCTATTTGCTCACGTTCCTGTCCGCAGTTTTCATATTTGCGTCACATTTTTGAACTTCTCTACAGCAATGACGTTCTCAGGCATTTTTTAAAGATTAATTTGGCTTTGTCGATCTGATGACTGCTTGGCAACAGTCAACATGACTTTGAATAGCAGGCCTCATTGCACTCGTGACTTTTTTTTTTTAATGTCATTTTTCCACAGCCACGCAAGTTTCGTCTACATTTAATCGCACTTTTAAATCCGTGTTTGCTTTTGATTGAAATCGTTTTGCTGTTTCGTAGACTATAAAACATTTCGACCTCGTTGACGCCATTTTGTTATTTGTATATCAACACACGTAGGACAATATAGCGTCTCAGTTGCAATAAATGGGCTCATGTGATCATGTTTAACAGGAAGTCTTTACAGAAAGCTTGATGTAAATATTACGAGGCAGAAAAAGTCCGCTTGTACGCGCAGGATGAAATGGCAAAGTGACAGGAACATGAGACATTTGAAGTAGGTCACTGGCACTTTGTGCCAGTACAGGGCTGACTTTGTCACACTTGGTCAGCCTTCCTATGTCCTTGTTTACTTTGATGCTTTTTGTCCCCCTCCCACTCACCTGCTTTATTTATAAAGCATCAAACTTGGTTTTTGTGCTACTGGGCAAACGTTGAAACAGCCTCTTTTTCTATCGATGATTCGATACTGCCACCTAGAGGATGCTGCAAGTAATTTAGCCACCACAGTCCAGCAAGTTTTGTTTTGATTTTATTACAGTACTGTACTTTGAAAGGTGCCGGAAGCTCTTCGCGTGTTTCCCAGAATAACTTCCTGTGTGGTTGTCATGGGCGACACGGACGCGGGGAGACTCCACACGGTCCAGCGTGGGTATTTTGGCGTTTTTTTGGGTCAAAATTAAATCCCTGGCAATTGTCTGAAGCGAAATGCCACCCAAGGGTGCAAAAAAAGGCGCGGCAGCGAAGAAGACCGCCGCCGCACAGGGTCCTGACGTCCAGACTTGGGAGAGTGGTCTCGCCAATGCACAGTTTGACGAGGTGGGCATGATAGCGTCCAGTGCTAAATAATGTGTGGAGGATCTGTTCAAACGTTTTGTGTGTAATTTTCCATTCGGGTGCATCTCAATAAAAGCTGTTGAAACATGGCTTGTATTTTTCTGGCCTAAAACAATCAAAGTTGGAAAAACTTCAGAACGTAAATCACTGTCATATATGGCAACAGTGTTTGCGCACTTCTCTTTAAATTAGGGTTCAACAAAATGGACGACCGCTCTGTGAAGTCCTATTTCTTTGGGGTGCAATGCACGAAAGTCAGTTTTCACGACAGCGAAACTTAAAACATTTAGTTGAACTGCACATCTTAAAATGCTATCGACGTTTGTCGCCTTAAAATTTTGAATTCATCCGACACTGTTTAGTCCTTGCACAGTGTGAACGTATTGAGACGGGTAAAAAGGAAGATTTTTTTTCAAATACTATATACAGGGGTACCTCTACTTACGAACGTCTCTTCACTCTGAGAGAGAAGATGGACTATTTGTTACATGTTTTGACGCATTTTTATGATTTAGGAAACGTTTTTGTCTGAATTTTGGGGGGGCTTGGAACAAATTAGGGCATTTACATGGAAAACGTGTCTCTACTTACAAAATTTCGTGAATTTTGAAAATAAGCATCCACTCCACAAGGGAGCGCAAATTCTTCATTAAAGCGTAAATGATTGACAATTATCAGGGTTTTAGTGCATGCCGCCACCTGTCTTTGCAACGTCGCCTTGTGGACCCCCACGTAATGCGCATGCCAAAACCGCTGTTTGTTGTACGTAGTGATGTTTCTGAAAGCTTTATACGCGTAACCGTTCCTTTTCTCCACCGTCGCAGGACAACTGGCAAGCGTGCGTGTGCGTCTTGGTGGGTCGAAGTCCGGACGACGAGGACCTGATCCGGCTGGTGGCTCGGGCCGTGCAGCAACCGCAGCGCAAACTTTTCACCTCGCTCGCTTGGGAGGACACCGAGGCCAAGGTAGCTAACGTGCACGTCGTCGAATTGCACATGTACGCTCATACGCTCTTTAGAGTCTATCCAGAAATATATCGGCAATTTGTCTCAATGTGTTTGAGCAGATTCGAGAATATGGGAATCCCAAAGCAAAAAAACGTGACGCTTTTCCTCAGTACTACGAGGTTTGTGTTCAAGAGACATGAAGTCGCGTGGCACCCTCAACGTCCACCTCTCTCAAAATTTTGCTGCGCGCGCTTGTGTAGGTGACGGCGCCCGCCAGGGAGTTGCTCGAGGCCCACGAGGAGATCCCTGCTGAACTCATGGCGCAAATAATCAAGTTTATGCTGCTGCAGGTGAAAGAGAGTGACCAGCGGAGGCGAAAAACAGAGCAAGTGAGAAACGTAGATAAAATGTGCTCTTTAGTTTGATGTTCCTGTTGACTGCTAAGTACGTGCTTTCTTTTTTTTGTTTGTTTTTCTTTGTTTCTACGTAAGGTTCGAGCTGCTGCTCCTGTCGCCAAAGGAAAAGCAGGAGCAAAAGGCAAAGACAAGAAGGCAAAGGATGAGCCGCCTCCGAAACCCAAAACAAAACTTAAACGCAGGGATGATGTCGAGCCACCCAAGTACATAAGTAAATATTTTTTATTATTGCTACGCTGATTATAATTGTTTACATTGAGCCCTCGCTATTCGCTGGGAAGAGGGACCCATACAATGGTTTGTTATTGCCTGGAGATGCCACAGGATGGCGTCAAACCACTACATTTGTCAAAATGAAACTCCTCAACTCATTTCAACATTATTCCTAGTCACCGAGATGCCAAAAGAGGGCGGCAAAGCACTACTTTTGTCCAAACGAAACTCCTTGACTGATGTCAACATAGTTCCTTGGCCATGAGATTCCAAAAGATGGTGGCAAAGCATTACTTTTGTTTAAATGAAACTCCTCTACTTGTGTCAACATAGTTCCTTGGCACCAGGATGCCACAAAGTGGCGGCGAAGCACTACCTTTGTCTAAACGAAACTCCTCTACTTGAGTAATCGTAGTCCGTTGAGGCCCAAGTTGCCAAAAGAAAGTGGACTCTACTCCTGTTGGAATTCATCTCAACTTATTTCACCATAGTTGCTTGGCACCGAGGTGTCGAAAGATGATGCTAAAGCACTAGTTTTGTCTCAGTAAAAATCCTTGACTCATGTCAACATAGTTCCTCGGCGCAAGATACCACAAGGTGGTGGCAAAGCGCTACTTTTGCCTAAATGAAACAGAATGTCAAGCAAAAATTCTCCAAGCATTCACGAAAAGGTATAAAAGAATTGAGTATCAGTGCTCGACCCTCAGCACGGACGCAGCGGGTGGACCAACGTGCGGGTTTTTTTGCTTGTGCCGCCGCAGACGACGAGCCCAACGACGGCCCTCAACATTACATCCTGCTGATGGGCTTCCACCAGCCTCAACTGGTGGGGACGCTGGATGGCGCCGGCGTGCACGTCGCCAACGTCATCAGGCTGAGCGCCACGCATCCGCCCTGCGAAGAGGACCACGAGCAGGATGAGGAAAACCCCGAGCCCAACGGTGAGCGGGAGGAAATGATTTACTCACTCACTAATAATGTGCCTTTATTTGTTCATCTATCTATGCCAGTGATGGATAATGACAAGAAGAGCAATAATAATAATAATCATCATAAATGCCTCTCGCTAAAAATACAAATTGCAAGCAGAATGTCACTCAATTTAATTTGCCGTCTCCCATCAGCGGATGAAATTGCTGCCAAAGAGGCGAGGGCTGCACAGGCCAAAGTACTGGACCACTTCTGGGGAGCACTGAGGCAAGTTTTGGACAACGGAGGAGCAAACTCCAGACTCCACAACGTGGCTCAGCTGGAATACGCCGTCCCGGACTCGTTGATGCCCTTTGACCGGCAGGATTTCGACTCTGTGGTGCGTCACCGCCCGCTTCCTGTGTCTGGCTTTGGCACTCACGTCTGGCGTCTGCTCGCAGATGGCGGTGGCGACCCAAATGTTCGACGACGTGGCCAATCTCATCTATGACTGCCTGGACTGGCGCAGGCAGCACCAGCACTACTTGGACAGCGCCAACTTCATACGTGTGCCCTCTGTGGTCTCGGGGCAGGACGCTCCACCACCTGCAGAGGTACGCGCCTTCTGACATCTGTCGCAAGCTCTTTCGAGTACTTTTTTTCAAGAACTTAATTAAACTTTTTCCAAGCAGTTTTAGTATTTATCCCGGTTACACTGCTTGATTTAGCCAATGCTCCATTAAGCGTTTCCAGTTGATCCACAATACTGCTGCTCACCTTTTTTTTTTTTTTTTTTTTTTAAACCAATCCGATTGACATTTTCATGCCGTGGCTTGCCCGCCAGCTTGCTTCCACCCTTAGATTACTTTTTGTCTTTCCTGCCAGACTGGAGCTACTGTGTCCCCACGTTCGAAGAAGCCAGGACGCCCTCCAGCCCCAAGTGAGAGCTTTCTTCTTCTTGGGTCAGCTTCATCCTCGCTTTCATCACCAGCCGACGCTGTTGTGGTTTTCTTCGCGACACAGAAAAGCCGCCGTCATCTCTGACCACCGACGTGGACATGAATCACTACAGCAGCCTCATGGAGCACGTCCCGGCCGAGGCCTGCTCCGTGCCGCTCATCTTGCACTGCATGCTGGAACAGGTTTGTGCGCAGGCGGACATTTTACGGATCGCATCGTTGCCGCTGCCGTTGTCCACTTTGGAAGGCGGGCTTTCAGGGCTTACGCCACCGTTTCATCGGTGTGTCCAGGTTGTGTTGTCAAGTGAGCAGCCCCCGCCGTCGCAAGCGCCTGACGACTCTGACCCCGAGACCGCTCCCGGTCTGGATCATCACGTGGTGGGCCAAATGCTGCAAAACGTCTTGCCTGAGGTCGAACCAGGGGACGAGAAGAGAGACTTGCTCGACAGTTTGTTGACCACTGTACAGAGGCAAGAGGACAAGGAGGTATATGAACGGGCATCGGGTACTCTAAATATTAATACGCCAAGTGTTTCTTTTCATCCTGTCATTTGGCATTTTGTCTTAGATGCTTAAGGAGCAGTTTCAGGTTGAGGTGTCACCGAGAACGCCCGAGCAGCCTGTCATTATCAGACACCATGATGAAAGGGCGCTGCGCTTAATTGGCATAACTGTAAGTCACATTGACATACTTTTTTTTTTTAACATATTTTCCTTTATTCTCTGTGTGTAAATACCAGAAAGTGAGTTTCACGACTTACTAATAAAGTGCTACATGTGTATTGGTTTGCCATTGGGAATTTGTGCTATCGTGTAATTTAGGCTAGATCATATTAATGAACCTCATGTGTATTTGTGTGGTTGTTGTTGAATAATTTAGCTACTCAATACAGAAATTTATTTATGCAACTTCATGAAGCGTGTACATGTATGGTGTTGATGCTTTATGATCCTCTCGATTGTAAATCCTTTGCCGCCATCTTCTGGAATTTTTATGTAATTGCACCCCCTATTTTGTTTTGTTTTTTGCAAACTTTTTTTTCTCCCACAGGGTTTGATCCCTTTTTTAAATACAACATACGTAATGTCTTTTTCTGCGGTCTTGATAGGGGACTCAAGGTTTGGATCCAGCCCAGGAGGAGGCGGCCATGATGAAGCAGTCGCCCGCGTGGAGGCTCATCAACTCTGTGGCTCAGCGGCGCTCCAACAGCTCCTGCTGGAGGGCCATCAAACAGCAGCTCCAGCGCCAATGCACCGATGGTCTGATCGAGAAAAGAAATATATCAATATGGATGCATATATTTTTTTTTTGACGTGTCATTTTTTTTTTAACCTAACCGTGGCCTGCAGATGAGGTGTCATGGCCGCAGGTGGAGCGCTTCCTTCACCAGAGCGTGTTTGAGAGCATGCAATTGACTGGATTGGATGAAGACGGTGTTCTGGGAAAAGACTGCAGACCTTTAGGAATGGTGCACCATGCCAAAAAACCCCCCGTCAACCCCTGGGACAACCCGTTGTCCTTCGCGAAGCAGAAGCTTCGCAACCAACGCAAGAAATGTGTGTCGGTGCTTCACTCGGTCCATTTTTTTTTTTCAGTTTGTCTTCACTTTGTCACATTTCCTTCTCTCTGCTTTAGCTTCAATGTTTCTCCAAGACGACTCGACAGATTCTACAGAGGTGTTTGTATTTTCATCACCGGATGTTCACTGTCAAGCCGAATTATTTCTTTCTCTTCTGAAATTGTTGTCCAGGTGTCACTTCGAATTATTTTTTTCCTCTCACTACCAGATCAGCGAGCGCCTAGTTGTCCAGCTGGACCTGAATGACATTCAGAGTTGCCGATTGAGGTCCCTGAAGGATTGGCACTATGTTGAACACCACGAGGCGGCCGTCTTTCCTCAGGTGAGATCCTAATCTAGTGCCTTGTCGGATTCATGTGATCCTTTGTTTCCGGCACAGGTCCTCCAGTCGGCTGCCCAGCAGTATCGCTGTCTGGACACACTCAGAGGAAGTCATAATAACGTCTTGTACATTTTCTGCCACAATCCCATGAGTTCCAATCGCTTGTGCAAGGAGTTCTGGGACGTAGCCATTCACACGGATGTCAAGTTCAGGTACGAGTGTATTTTGCCGGATTTGCTTGCAAGCTGATAAATATGTTTTGTTTTGTTTTTTTTAAAGGACATATTTGGAGCATGTAGCAGACACCATCAGAGACTGGATTGAGAAAGAGGAGCTAAAGAAGCAGGAGTTGGAGAACACCCAAATAAGTCCAGCGCAAGAGTCAGAAAGTACAGCTGAGCTTCACACGCGGCTACCGTGTTGTTTGTGACGGAATAAAATGATCTTTCTGTTTTCTTGAACAAAAAAAAAAAACATGACAGATTGCACAGAGGAAGATGAGGAGTCACAAGTGGCTTATATCACAAAAAACTCACTCAAAGTTTGTAGCAACTCACACACGCGCACAAAAACCCTCAAGAGCACGCACGTCAAATATATCGAGTTGTCGTTCCAATGGACAGGCTGCCAGGCTGGAGGAGGAAAGGCTGAAGGAAGAGGAATCCAAAAAAGGCAAGAAGCCGGCCAAGGCGGCGGGGGGAAAAAAGCAGAAGCCGGCGAAGGACGCGAAGTCCGCCGATGCCAAGAAAAGCGACAAATCCGCCAACACGGGCAAGAGCAAAACGACCACCAACAGCTCCACGGTCGCCGCCTCCGACCAGTCGCTTTCCATTAAAACGGAAGACAAAGAGGAGGCCGGCAGTGTAAGAACAACGTGACGAATGTAAAATACACGACTCACAAAATGTTTGGGATGTTCAGCTCTTGATGCCTCACTTTTAGGGGTTCACGGGCTTCCACATGGATGGAATGTTGGTCCATCTGTCAGGGTCTCTCCAGTACCTCTTCCCTGCGGCTGGGGGAGACGTTACCGTGGAGACCGTCAGCTACGTTGAAGGTGAAGTCAATTGCGCAAGCTTTCTTTGATTGGTGACAATTTTATTTTTTACTTGGACTAAAAAGATTTAAAAGGCATGTATTTAAAACAACTGGTTTAACAAAAGTCTCACTAGCTCTTGCAAACGCTTATTAGCATCCATGTTGTGGCGCTTTATCCCTTCCAGCAAGGGATTGAACACAAAATGATTCAGCAACAGCACTCAAGTCATATTTTCTTTCTAAGACATGTTCCACGACTAGTATTAATGCTGTACTGAGGAGATCAGAAAGGAGTTGATTAGCTGGTGCAAAAAGGCAAGGAGTGCCGAGAATGTCGGGAGGATTGGGTGAACACTATAGCCTGTCTGTCCGTCTTATACTGCCCCCAGGTGGCCAAGGCAGGCACACCTGAAGGAGCAGCATTTGATTGATGTATCTCAAGGCACCACTGTACTTCCGCAAAACACATGTCCCCGTAGGTTCCAGAATGCTGAAAGTGGCCGTGAAGCAAGACGGCCACCACTTCTACACGCACATCAGCCC